ACGAAGAGCGATGGCACGGCCACCGTTATCGAACCGGCCGAGTCGTGGTCCTTCAATGAACGCTCCCCAGAGTCCAGCGATACCTCCGACCATATGAACAACACCGGAGCCAGCGAAATCGATCGCTCCGGTTCTGAAAAGCAAATCTCCATCGGTCCGGAACGGACTGGCCCATCCATCAACCGACCAGAACCAGTGAGACACGACCGGGTAAACAAACCCGGTTAAGAAAGAGGAATAGATTAGGTAAGCCACGAACTGAGTCCGTTCAGCGATCGAACCACTAGTGATTCCAGCCGCGGCTATAGCAAAGGCCCATTGGTAGAGAAAATTGGAATAATCAGCAGTGGCCGTGGGGATATCTTTGAGACCAAAGTAGTGTTTACCAATGAAACCATTGGACGGAGATCCAAAGGCAAAAGCATAGCCAAATAGATAGTAAAAGAGACCTCCGGCCGCAGCATCAAGAACGTTGGTAAGCATGATGTTCATCGTATTCTTGGCTCTTACGGAACCGGCACAGAGCATAGCGAAGCCAAGCTGCATAGAGAAGACAAGGTAAGCGGAGAAGAGGAGGTAAGTGGTGTCTATGGCGAAAGCGGTGTCGATGAACTTGCTGTCGACGACGCTTAGCTGGCCACAGATGTAGTTGGCAGCCTCCGTGGCATTAGGACCTAACAAGACCGAGAGATCGGTCGCGTTGCAAGACATGTTGAGAGATTAGAGAAGAAGAAGAAACAGAGAGGCTGAGAAAGAAAGTGTGTTGTTCTCTGTTTATATAAAATGAGGAGAGCTAAAGGGCCTAGGGTTGACTTTTCAAATTACAGCGTGACGAAAAATATTCGTAATGCAAATTGCAGTCTTTAAGTTTTGTTTGTTAGTACATGTGAATCTAGAATATAAAAGAATAAAAATAAAAAAGGGAATGTAAATGTATCAGCTAATATATCGGTGAAGATAAGATCTGTGTGTTCGGAAAAAATTATTCTATCACATCCAAATAAATAAGTGAATAACAGAAAAATAAATATAGTACAATATATATTGAGATTGAAATTTCTTATCTTTATTTTTTTTCTTGGTCAGGCGAAATTTCCTGCTCTCTCTTATGAACATTAAAAAGTGTCAAGTTGACAAGCTATTCTTTTGTTACCAAAACTTTTAGATTTGAGTATTAATAAGATTTCGTCAGAGTGGGTATTTATATTACTTACAAAAATTATGTTTGCATTTAACGTATTTCGATTTCATTAATAAGATATTAATTGGTAATTCTGTGATACTATATCAATCAGGTTGTTGGTGGTATATCTTAAATTGAGAGTGAACATAATATTGATATGCTCAAAAGTTATTGTTTCTTTTCCCCTAAATTATCTTTCTATTTATTCAATAATATAAAATTTTCATATATATCTTTAATTTGTAAAGTAACAACATAAAAAAACCAAGCATAATAAATGGATAAAAAAATAATTGGATTTCGAGATTAAAGGGTAGAGCGACTATGTACTGTTTGTTTTTGGTCTCGATGAAGACATCAACGAGCATATAGTACTTTAGATTTTCAAGTTAGTATGAGGCTGGGATTACAAATTTTAAAATTTACCCTTCTTTATAGCAAATCTTTCATAGGAAATTAAAAATATCAAAATATTTGCAGACAAAAAAATTCGAGAAAGATGTAACACTAGGTTAAAGTTAAGATGATTACAGTGTCTGACTCAAAGATTTGACAACAACAAAGTGTAGACATATCAAACTAGACATATCAACAAAATGAAAAAGAAGAATTTTTTTTTTTTTTTTACATGCACCAGTAAAAAAAATCAGAAGAAAATTATATCAGATGAAAGGAGAGGAATTCTTTTTTTTTTTTCTTTTTGGTCAAAAGATGGAATTTCATTAATTAAAAGGCGATAACCGGCCTCGGTACAATGTTTAACAAAGAACGCTTTGCAAGAGCATCAGATTGTCGATTAACATTTCTAGAGACGAAAGAGAAGCGAATTTTCTGGAAAGTAGATGATAGAATCAGGATATCGTGGAGAATCCCGTGGAGATCCTTGTGCGGAGTCTCCGAGAGTATTGCTTCGATCAATTGTTTTGAGTCTGAAGTGATTGAGAGATTTGTGATGCCCATCTCATACGCATGGAGCAGCGCCTGGTGAATAGCGATTGCTTCGGCGAGTAACGGTGAGCGAATATTAGTCAAGCATTCAGATCCCTCTCGAAGAAAATCCTCTCTGCAATTGCTAAATACCCAGCCAAAACCAGCAACTTTTTGATTTGCATTCCAAGCGGAGTCCGTATGGCACACGGTTGTTTCAGAGTCGGTTGGGGAAGTGGGTTTTGTTCCAGGGGTGGAGAGCTTCTGATTTTGAGTTGGCGGATGGGTTTGCGCATAGTTCCATTCACGGGCTAGGGCGATGGCTTGTGATAAAGTTTCTCTCGGCGAGGATTGTTTATCTTTGAAGATGCGATGGTTTCGAGCTAGCCAAATAGACCACAGTATCCACGGGAATAAAGGTCCTCCTCCAATATCACAAGGTGGAAGGCAGATCAGATTCTTGGCTCTTTCGATGAGATCTCTGATAGAGGTAATTTGTTCTGGGACGAGACTAGCTTTGAAAGGAGCTTTTTCCCAGATCTCTGCGGCGAAGGAGCATTTGTAGAGGAGGTGAAAGGTTGTTTCTTCCTCACCACAGAACGGGCACTTGGCATCCGTGTAGATTCTACGCTGGCTCAAATTATCTCCCGTAGGTAACGCACCCCTCATGGCCTTCCAAAGGAAAAATTTTGTTTTTGGAGATGTCTGAATGTGTCATATGTTTTTGGAGATGAATTCTTCCTTCCTCAAAACTAGTAGAATTGATTTTTCCTCTTGATGTGACATTTCTTTTATTCTATTCTTTTTTTTCATTTCTTCTAGTTTTTTAACCAGTCACAATTTTAGTGAATTTAATTTTTTTTTCCTAAACAAACATGGGCCAATGGGCGGGTAAATAAGCTCAGACATCATTCATAAAATTGGACCGCGATTGAAAGCTTTGTGGGTTTAAAATTTGTCTACCATTATACGGGCCAAACCCATCAAAAGAGAGCATCATCTAGTCTAGATTAAGGTTATGATATATCTCTTTATCACCATCTTCGTTGCTGGTTTTGACGTGACTGTCTTAGACCTCTGGTGAAAACAATGAAAGACGAGGGTCACAAGATATCTAAATTCGATGGATTTAGATAAGGATTGGACACTAAGCTCAAGTTTCAAGATTGGAGAACATTTGGATTCTAGAGCCTTCTCTTTCGATGACTTCAATACCAACTATATGAGAATATCGAATGGATGGCTTGCATGAAGCTATGTTGTACTTTATCACGAATCTCTGAAGTATCGTAGAAGGTAGACGTGAAGAAGAAGAATTTGAGAAAAAAGTAATATCAAAGAAAATTAAACGCATAAAAAATTTACAGAAAGATCGATAGAGAATATTGTAAAGACAAACAATATTTTCCGAAAACACTATAGTTTTCACAAATTTCAAGCTATTTTAATGTTTTTCTTCATATCTTGTGTTATTTTTATTTGATGCATGTCATTTAATTAAATTATCAGCATCTGTTTGTCTTTTTTCTTAATCTTCACAGCGAAAGTTCTTATCTCTTATCGGATCTTCTCCACCATTACCTCATCTGCAACCATCTCCTACACGGTGGCCACTACCATTGTATTGACCTCAACCACCACCACATCTACTAAATCGTAACCTCATGCGTTCATGAACCTCAACAACTCCATCTCCACCCAAATTTATAATCTTTACTACTTGTTTATTTTGTATCCTTCACATCGACCTCCTCCTCATTATTCACCATCATTGCCGTTGTCGGACTTTATACCAGAATTCTGATGTTAATTATTGCTGCAAATTTCATCTTCTCCAAGTAAATGAATTGTCTTGTAATTACCTTGATTCAAAAGGATAAGTTGATATTTGCCATACCTGTACTCCATATTAAAAAAGTTTTTTTTTTCTTTTTTTTTTTGTTCAAATCAAGTTAATTTCTAAAAAAACTGACACAAAATTAATTTATTAATTTTTTTGTGTAGAATTTGACTATTTGCTAATATTAACTTTCTTTAGTTCTTTATATCATTCATCTGTATCGAAATTTGTCTCGATTATTAGGTTGTTAACTCTACAACAAAAATATTTGAAATTGAATTCTGGCGAAAAAATCCACAAAAATGGAACTTTAATGCTTTGACCAAAAACATTTCTCCATACAAACTATATAATTCGTACACATCTTTTACTATATTTAAATCTAGTTGATGATCCTGCAGAAATAATATTATAAATTCATTAATCTGATTACTTTAAAATTTAGAAGAAGCTGATTTATACATGTTATTTTGCTCTTTCCAATCATCCCATATTAGTATTCTATAAATGTATATATATATACACTATTAGAAAGTTACTTTATTTTTCCAAATAAAAAAAGTTACTTTAATGGAACCTGATTATTAGACCATCTCCAAGGAGACACCCAAACTTTTAATTTTTGGTGTTAATTCAACTCCAACGTGACACTATGATGGAGACCATCTTTTTTTTTTTTTGGGGACCCTCTTAAGGATTCGAGTATGGTTGTTGTGAGGGGGCGGGGGTGATAAAATAATTA